CCTTCGAGAGCGGGGTGGGACTTTTGTAGTTTACCGTTCAACCCCGGTGGCTGGAGAGTGCGGCACGGAACCGTTGTGGCTTTCCGTCACAATTCCCGCTCTCCGGCGTCAGCGAGGGAGTGGGTCTGCGAGACTGCGGCGGCGGCGGAGGTGAGCAGTGGGGCTTTAAGCAGCCCCGCCGGGGCAGCGCTCCCTCCCTCCGCTAACGCTCCAGCTCTTGGTTGAGGGGGAAGCTGAGGTTGTGTGGGACCGTTAGGTCTCAGGAACAGCAGAGGCGTCCGGACTTGGCAGGGTATGGTTTGGCTCTTGTCTGTCTTTTTGCCTGCTAGGTCAGAGGTGGACCTCTTATCTTGGGCTGCTGGGCTGGGCCGTCGAGGTGCTTGCTTGGAATTCTCAGTTGGTGTCCCGTGAGTTCCTTTGAGTCTCTGAACTCTCTTCATCATCTGCTCCTTTTTTTTCTGTGGCGCCAACCCAACCCGGCGTCATTTTTTCTAAACTAGAAATACCTTGGGTCCTTGGACCGGTCTCATGGAAGGTACTGCAGTAGTCGGAAATTTGGATAATTCTGTCGTGATTTAATTCAGCTTTGTAAGTGATGGACTTTTTGCATGTTTACAGTGACTGGAAAAAGTCTTGGGATCACTCATCCTAGACTGCCTGTCACATTCTTCACCAGTTTTTGTTGTTTTTTCTTTCTTTTCTTTTTTAATTTATAGTGCTATTTTTTTAAAAAATTTATTGTCCTTTGGGTGAAAGTTTATAGAGCAAATTCACTTTCCATACAGCATTTCACATACACTTTATCTCATGACATTGACTGTAATCTCCTACAGTGCAATAGCTCCTCTCCCACTTCCTCCCCATAGCTACCTCTTCCTGATGCCTTCCCTCCCATGCACTCCTGTCTCCTGAGCTGTCTCCCTGTGCATACACAGCCCTTCTATTAACCCATGATTGATCTCTCCAAGGTGTGTATCTACCTAATGTAAATGTTCACCTCCTATGCCTGTCTATTGTTTGGCTGGAAGCCACAAGAGTGGGTTCAGTTCCAGATCTGAAGGGCAGCTAGGGGCCATAGTCTCAGGGGTTCCATTAGGCTCTATCAGACCAGCAAACCTGGTCCCCCCCTTTACTTTTTATGATTTTGAGTTTTGTTCCACATTTTTCTCCCACTCCATCCAGGATCTCCTACATAGATCCCCGTCCTTGACAATGGTAGCCAGGCACCATCTAGTTCTACTGGTCTCATAGTCACAAAGGCTGAGGGTCTTGCCTCGTGTACCATTTGCTTGGACTAATTGTTTCCATGCATCTTTGGTTTTCTTCATTCTTCTTTGCTCTGGACTAGGCAAGACTCATGGTTACATCTAGATGGCCTCTTGCAAACTTTTGAGATCCCAGTGGCTACTCACCAAAGTAGGGTCTGGAACAATGTTTTGGTGTAGTGTGGTAGTTCAGTTTGTGTGTCAACTTGACTGGGCCTGGTTGAATGGCTGGGCAGCTGGATGTAGTATTCCCTATGATGAGACTGGTAGTCAACTCCATGGTGGAATCTACTGTGAGTAGCTGAGTAGCTGCCTTAGGAAATGTGGTCTGCTTCCTGTGTGTAAGCAGAAGGCTTGGGGAATGGTCTCTAGCTTACCACATGCTTGGACCCTGCATGTAGCCATGTAGCCATGTCATTGTTCAGCAGCCTGTCATGCTCTGCCGACCTTGGAACTTTCAATGGACTTGAATTAATGGCCTGCTGTGTGGTTTGGTAACATTGGGACTGTGCCTTTTTACTTGTCAACCTTGGGCTTGGCAGCCTCAGCAGCCAGCAGCTGCCTGAGTGAAGGAAAACCTCTAGCTTCAGTGGGCCAGGAGCTGAAGCCCGAGGCTGAGGGGTTTTCACCCAGCCCTCAGAGCTTGGCACTTTGAGCTTGGATTTAAAGCCTCCAAACTGAGAGAATAAACTCCTGTTTGTTCAAGCATCCCATTTGTGGTATATTCTTGTCAGAGCAGTACTAGGTAACCAGAACATGTAGTACGTTATGCCAGTTGAGCTTGATGTTCCTCAGACCATGGTCCTGAGCCCACAGGTCCAACTACTCACTGCCTCTGGGTAACTGGCTGTGGCCAAGAAGTGACTACAACCTTGTCCCTTGTCAGCTCTACTATATACGTGGAAATTCTTACAGAACATACAAATACACCGTATGAAATACACTGAAACATTGTCTGCCTACCCTCGTGGTCTTGGGCTCACACTACCCTGCATAGATATACCTAATAGTTCAGCCTGTCCACTCATCTGTCCACCCATATATCAATGTTTGCCTTCACTGACAACGCAGTACTGTATGTGCAAAAGGGTTCATCTTTGTTTGTACCTCCCATGCACTTCTCTGTGTCTTCCTCTTCCTCAGTGCCACTGTGTTGACCACTCACGTTTGGTACATTGCCGTTCTCTTCACCCAAATCAATACTTGTCTCTTCCTATCTAATAGTGTCCCCCCCACCCCCGGTATTAACCAACAAAGAAAACATCCTTCTATATAGAAACCTTTCCTTGACTTTTTACAATAATGAACTAATACAGTATTTGACCTTCTGTGATTGACTTATTTCATGCATCATAACCAGAAGGCCGTTGGATCAAATCCACCAGCCACTCCTTGGAAGAAAGGTTGGGCAATCTACTTCCGTAGTGATACTGCCTCGGAAACCCAAGGAGGGGTCACTATGAGTCGGAGCGACTCGACGGCAAATAACAACAACAACAACAACCACATAAAATATCTCTTATATATGCATGGATATCTCTTGTATGTTGTTGTTGTTGTTATTATTTGCCATCCAGTCGGCCCCGACTCATAGTGACCCCTCCTTGGGTTTCCAAGGCAGTATCACTATGGAAGTAGAAATGCCCAACCTTCCTTCCGAGGAGTGGCTGGTGAGTTT